TCAGACAAACTGGCTGCAACGCGTGAAAAAGACCGGCGGCTGTGATTATATATATATATATATAGTATGTGTTACATATTAGTAGCTAATGCTTCCCATGCTGGTTGTTTGCTCCCACGATTCATAGACCAGGCAACGTATGTTTCCTTGCACAGCTGAAGCTTCCAAAAGCAAGGGTCTAACTTTGCGTTGTATTCCAAATAGATATACCCAAAAGCTTGCACAGAGAGCTGAGGTGAAAATTGTCGAGGTCAAGCGCGTGATGCAGCCCAACTTGCTGAACCAGTTTTGCAAAGAGGAGCGACCCAACACGGCTCCAAAGGTCCATTACAAGTCAGCGTGGAAAAAATGCGTTCCTCTTTCCTTCCTAATGCCAATCAACTCTTGGAGGGTAACCTATAGCATTTGGAAGCACATACACGTGCCTTGTTTGGCTTCAATCTAATATGAGTAGATACTGAAGACACAGTCATCATCAATGTCAATTGACCTCAATGCAGAGCTTCACTGGAGGTTCCAGGAGTGGCTGTTCAATGTGCTGAAGTTGTTTGCGTTTGCACGCCGAGGAGGAATCCTCAATGGCCATGCATGAGGGTCAGCTTAAGACTCACAAAGAGTTCATGCTGCTACATGGAACCCGATGGGAAACTTCTCTGCACTGGAGCGCTGAATCACACTCCTCCTGATATGTCACACTTGCATCCGCTTGGAGTTGTGATTCAAAAACGGGGACGCTCCGATATCCCGTGGAAGTTCATTGTTCGTGGTTGATGCGGCTTTCTTTGAGAATAAACATCCCGTGTAACAAAGGTGCAAAAGTTCAAACAGACTAAGGATCATCTGGAATTGTAATTTTGCCTTTGTTGTAGGAGAACAAGTGAACGCGCCATGGTGTTAAATTATACCCACCCAGATGCCCCATGAAGCTTCAAGGACTATGCACCTTTGATTGCCGAGAATGGCTTGGACCCAACCTGCGGGCATTTGGCCAAAGGTTCCTGGCTTGGCGGAATTGCCGAGAAGGCCCATTCTTATGCATCCAAAGGTCCAGGACACTGCCAAGTCAAAACCGGCGCATACTTGCACAGAGTGGAGGAAGCAGGGTTCTAGATGAGTTTTGCTTGGTTTTGTTTGAATCCTTAAGGAGGTAATATGTGTTTCCTAAAGAGCAACTGTGACACTCATTTCAGGAAAACCAACCTGGCTCATGCAGAATTGAACCCGGGTGTTTCAGAGTTGGACAGAAAGGCTACAAAAGTGGCACGTGTGTCTCTTTCTCAAAGAAGAAAGCTGCGGAAGCTGCAACATATCTCGGCAGGACCTGAGACCTCCGAGGGTGATCGGCTCTTTGCCTTGTTTGTGGTTGCTGCTGTCCCAGACCTGATGGACGGCGTTGCTTGGAAGCCGAAAAGCTGCAAAATGTTGGGCTAAACCTAGCGGCTGTAAATTATGGGTTGTGTGATAGATGACAAAGGCAAACTGATGCTTTGGGACCGCGTAATTCTTTACATGTCAGTTGAAAAGTGGTGGTTGACTCAATTGACATTTATCGGCATCGAGATATACAATATACAATTACATGTTTGTCACCGTCCAGGTACTTGTTTCAAATCACACATGGTTTGCAACTACATGATCTACATTTCATGCTTTTGATGCTTTGATGAGGTACACATGGAACTCAACACAACAATGTCTCAACATAACATTGGTGAACTTGAGACAAGCGAGTCCAATTCACAACGCCTGTACGCTTAAGAATATCGACAAGTGTCCATATAAAAGATGTCTCTTTGCAAGGGGGCTTGCCCAAAGAAAGCGTGGATTGTACCAAGGGTGGCAAATGCTCGTAGAATGGGAAGACAGGAAGAAACCTGTGTAGCGGATGGGATCATGACAAAGATATGGCCGTGATATAGGAGGAGATTTGGACGAAAGAGGAGACGTTGTGGGGAAAAAGAAACGGAATGGAGAGATCCTGAATTACTTCCTGTATTACAAGTTCGTTTTTAGAGCCGGCCGGTGCCTGATGTGCCATGCCAAAACACACACATTTGTTCAGGTTTAGGTCCAGGAAGAGCATGAACCACTGCGACGAATGTATGCAGTTTAGGACTAGTTAAAACATAAGAACAGGAACAGGATGACGCTTTTGGTTTGTACTGGACAGAGCTTTTGCGAGCAAAAAATGGCATACAGAATGATGTTTTCTATTTTCCTATTGCTCATTCGAGTATTCAAACCTACCCCCTTTTAACCTCGGCTGGTTGTATGCAAATCTATGTTTTTTCCCCAAACAGTGTGGTCACACTAGGGGTTTTTACAGCAATAGTTAAGCACCGGTGTCTAATCGAGGTGTTGCGCGGGCGTGTGCGGCTAGTTCGCTGCTATTTACAGTACATTCATGCCTCTCGAAATCCTCGAAGTGCATTTCGACTGCGCTCGGCGCGCGCGGGCGCTTGTCGCGACTGCGCTGTCGTCGTGGTGCCGCGCTCATTTTCTGACATGGAAACCTCGTGCTTTGGCGTTCCAAAGTCGACTTTTCGTGACAGGCGCAAGGGATCGGAGCGGCTTTACTTCGAAACGCAGACTTCGTGGCAGGCGCAGCACTTTGGACATGGTGGTGATCTTCGAGGCGCTCTGATTTCGTGACAGGCGCAGTGAATTCTGGCGTTTGGACCTGTGGCTCGTTTGCAGGCTTCGTGACAGGCACAGCACTTTGTGAACCTCGAAGTGCAGATTTCGTACCAGGCGCAGCACTTGGTGCACCTCGAAGTGCAGATTTCGTGACAGGCACAGCACTTTTCGCGCTCGAAGTGCAGATTTCGCGACAGGCGCAGCACTTTGTGAACCTGGAAGTGCAGATTTCGTGGCAGGCGTGTGAACCTCGAAGTGCAGATTTCAAGCACTCTGTGCTCTTGGATGCTCACTCTCACTCTCACTCACGCTCTCACCCGCTCTCACTCCCGACTCACTCACACTCTCACTCACACTCTCACTCACACTCTCACTCGCTCTCACACTCACTCTCACTCTCACCTCGCACTCTCACTCGCTACACTCACACTCACACTCACTCACACTCATCTCACACTCTCACCCTCTCACTCTCTCACCCTCTCACTCTCTCACTCTCTCAACACTCTCACTCTCACCCATGCTCACGCTCACCCACTCACTCACTCTCACTCTCACTCGCACTCGCACTCGCACTCGCACTCACTCACCAACCATCACCGCGATCTCCACCTTCATCACCACCATCACCTCTTTGCGCCCCAATGCGTCTAGATCTCTAGACTTTCTGCTCCTACACCTCTACACCTCACACACACTGTTTGGGGTCTCTTGCCGAGATAATGTTCAGCTGAATACTGGTAGATGTTCTTCATCATCCCAGTCATAGCTAGACCTTGCACCCATAAACAAGCAGGAGCAAAATATGCAGAACAATTAGGTTTTCGAAGAAGGTAGAATTCAGTTGCGCAGGGGAGGATGCCAGTGTTTTTTGCAATTCCAAATCGCCTCTAGGGTTGCAGACATGAGTTCCAAACAGACTGTCCTAAATGCACGCTATATCACGCGCCAAACCGTTGCTTGGCAGCCACACGTAAGCAGAGTTTACGAAGCTACGCAAGCAGGCAACGTGTCATAATGCTTTGCAGATGTTTCTGAGGCAGATGAGAGGATGCAAGCACATTCATTAGAGTTGATTCAGAAGGAATTGCTACCACTCGCATTTTGTTAAAGCATTGCTTATCACATGTGGCTCCAGCAATTTTCTGGCTCACACAAGATCTGAGGACGACGAAAGGTCCTTTGGAGTTTGGCGCATGATGTCGGGCAAACGCATGTATCCTGCTTATCATGTCACATGGCGAGCGCTTCAGGCTTTACTTGGGCAAAGGCTGGAAGCACAAAACGGTTTCCCCAAGAAACCTCGGTCTATTTCGTTTTCAGGGGACTCTGCCAGATTGTTGCTGGATACCAACCCCAGTCAGATTGTTTGTCCCTGGATGGATGACCAAGCCAACTTCTCCGAAGGAGCTCAAAGTGTGTGTGTGTGTGTGTGTCCACTCCTGTTTCCAAGGACACTACCCCAACTCTTTCTAACCTACCCTATGATTTTCCTGACCAATGTACAGCAGCAGGGGGTGGTAGCAAGGCAGAGAGTCTACCACCAACGAAGACGCTCTCTAAGCCTTGGTGATACTGGGACTGATCATCCCAGCGTACCTGCATAATTCAATTTTTTAATCTTCAGTCATTCGATGTTTCAACAATTCTGTTCGACCGACCCAGCATTTTCCTTTCAGTCAAGTGCTAAGTATTCACTTAAAGGGCTAATGCACACCGCGAAGCAGCCTGAAATCGCGCTCCACGGAGCAACCTTCTCAAGTGTGTGTGTGTGTGTGCGTGTGTGAGAGAGAGAGAGAGAGAAACCCTTGGAATCACAAAAACATCCAATGATTTGTAGCAGGGGGTGCCAGGGATGCACACTGGACTGGCACCAACGAAGACGCCAGTGTTGCATCTGTGAAATTGATTTGGGACTCCAAATCGACGTGCCTGCTTTGAACACATTGACTCCATTGGTCCGCCCTCCTTCAGGCTGTTTCCGGTATTGTAAAGCGCTAACGAGCTCCGCAGGTGTGCACGTTTGTCTAAAAGCCATGATGGGTCCAAGGTTTAAACTCGGTTGAAGTAATGTTGCGGATGGCAGAGCCGGGGAACCTTTTTACTCAGAGGGCGCGAGCGCAATGTCCATCAGCAGATTTATATATGCATGCACTGTGGCATTGCAAACTTTCGGTTCCCACCTTCCCAGGCCCCCGTCCTGCCCAACCGCGAAAGTATTTGCCTGCACGCGGAAGCGGAACTCACATGTTGCCAAGGTTGTCTATTCTGCGCCTATGGAATCTCAGCTTTCACAAGCAGCTGATGTCAGCCCTAACATATTGTGTCTTCAGGGTTTCCTCTGAAGCATTCTAGCTGCTAGTTCACTTAAAGTAACAAAAGTAGCACAGTTGTAAGGCCAATCATCCCTGAGTTCCCAATGCACCATTCCCTCGCTCAGGACATCAAACGGAAGAAACCGTTGATTGAACCGCGTCAGAACAAGGCGACACTCCTCCGAAAACAGAACTTGGAAGGCGGGTATGGTTTGAGAAGAGTTTTGGCAACGATCATCACGAGAGTAAAATCAAAGCATCAAACACGTTATCACAAAGAACGGGATGAACAGACCGACCATAACCCACGGCAGCCGACGGTCAGGTGGTGACAAGGCCGACCTTCCAAGCGCACGAGAAGGCCGCTGCCGAAGTTCAAGCCCCGAGAGGCGGGAGGAGATGCTCAGACTTTGCAGACTGAGCGTCGATGTCGCCTACGTCGTAGATGTCGTAGACCATTTACACAAGCCAAGTCCACCACAGGAACGAGGGGAAGAATTTTGATAATTTGGCTGAGAAGATTCAAGCCGGGGCCGGATTGTTGGATGTTGATTCAAACTGTCAGTACGATAGATCGTATTCAATTTCTGGTGGATTTGTAAATTGGTTTCTTTCGTTCGCTCAAAGGCTAGGGTATTGGCTCATGTGTTGCTCTACCAGCTGCTACGTTCTATGATTTTGCTGGCTGAATCCTGCCTTTTGATTCGATTTAGATGCACCCAAGGAAGTTATTGGCTACGCCAACAACGCAATCAAGTAGCCCCGATGCAGACATGTGCAGCCTGGCAGAATCATTGTGGTACATCATGGAGAACAAGCGAAACCCCAACAATCATTCCTCCTCACATTGACTGTGGCTGCCATGCTTTCACGATTCTATTTGCGTTGTTCGCAGAGTAAAAAGAGCACCTGTGTACGGCAGAGGCGCATGAGACGTATGGGAAACCTTGCATATCCATGCTGGAACAAGGTATGGCTAGTTGGCCCCTTGCAGCGGCGACATCACCTGCTCTCAAGGCATTGTGGGACTCTGCTCGAAAGTCCAGTACCTCATAGGTTGACTCATGTTGAGTCCGTCGGGAAGTCGGCAGAGTCGACCTTTGATTGTAGAGATCCGAGTTAGTGACACGGAAAGCCCTACTAGCAACCCTACCAAGGCAGCCTCTTCCAGACCATCACTTGCTTCGAAGTAGCAACCATCAAGTGGTCGCCACAGCACTGTCGGGAGTCATTGATGAAAGCACAATCTTCACAATAATTACAGCTCCTGTTTGCAGATCACAAGCTGAGAGATTGTCCTTTGCAGGTTTATCAGGTGCGTGTGGTGGGCGCTGATTCGCCCAGCGCGGGTTCTCCCTCTCCTGGCTCGCCTGGTGGACGGGCCATGTCCGAGGACCCGTCCTCGGCCGATGCTCAGCAGCACAGCCATATCTCAAATGGGTTTCAGACATGTCAAGACATGTGACCCACGAAATCTCCTCATGTTCTTCAGTTCTTCGAATCCATTTTATGGACCCACAGCCAAATGGCGAGGGATACTCAAAGCAGAGTCAAAGAGTGATCCAGTAGTTCCTAGGGATTCAAGGAGCAGATCTTGGAATTAAATCAGCCTTGTACGGAAGAGGTAACTCCTTTTCTCACATGTTTGACAGAATGAGGATGGAAAAGATGGATGAATGATCGGTAGGTCAAGCTCCCATGGCATCCGTGAGCTTGGATCTACGCAGCCTGTTTTCATTGTCCTGAATCGCCACCAAGGAAGACGTCAGCCGAACACCATCACCCGAACCTTCCAGAGGTGTGTGTGTGTGTGTGTGTTGGGGGAGGGTGATCCTGCTGATATTGATTCGATCTCGATCATGTTCATGCGGCAGCGGGCTCGAGAACTCGTAGCACGGTCATGCCAGGTCCACAAAATACAATGTGTTACATACCCCTATAATGGGCCCCTATATGTACTAGTCTTTCAGTCTTCCACACAGCTAATAATCACGCTAGATGAGACAGTTCCGTTGCATGGAAACAAACGGACCTTTATTGAAGCAAGAAATTCGTTGCACTCAAATAACCTTCCTTTGTCAAAGCAACTTCCTTTGGATTTGACTTCTGCAACAAGCGCAGGTATGAGTGTCGCTAAGCAGCAACTGGGCGAGTTGCTGGAAATCTGGAAGACGACGCGATATTCCCCAGAACCCATTGGACAGAAGCTGTGCTGAACATTTAGTTGCACGTGGACCTAGAGAAAAGATGAGAAAAGGTAAACATGCTTCTCCAAATGATGTCACAAAGCAGAAGAATGTGGTCACAAAACACGCAAAATCTTTACACAAGACCTCCGACTTAGGAACCCGAAGCCAGACAAAATGTTTATAGGCATAAACACGGTAAACGCCCCTCAAGGAGTTGCGACAACATTAACGTGTCAGGTAGATACATACTACAAAAGAAATCAAAAGAAAGGCAGAGGTAATTAGTTGTGGCAGAGGAGCTTTGTGCAGAACAACGTAGGAAGACGCAGCAGGTGCTGTGCAAAAGATGTTTGGGAGCAATGCAGTTCGACTTGCTGAACAAGGTCCAACATTGAGTGGGCCGCAATAAGCGACCAATTTACAGGTTCGCCACAGCTTGCAAGTGCCACCTTCCTGAAAAGCACTCATGTGGTGACCTGGGGCTCCGCGTGAACAACCTCATTGCTTCTTTTGCCAGGAATGAGACACAATGCATCGAGAAGATCTTCTTTGAAACAATGCCGGCGGACAAGGTCAAGATTGTAGAGAAGCTTGGATTGCACATATTATTCCTTCAAGCAAATTTGAGCAACCAGGTAGTCTAGTACCGCCCCATAGCTTCAGTATGTCGCATCCCGATTGAAGGCTAATGATTTAGTAATAATAGTGACTTTTGGAAGGGCAGTGGCAGCAGCTAAGAGTCCAGTGCGGGTGAAATAGAATGGTCTGAACGTTTCTTGATAGTCGCCGTTTTTTTGGAGCTATTAGCTTAGAATTGCGCCCTTCATCACCCTTCCAATGATTGTTGCGAAGCCTTCCGCTTTGAAAAGAAGATCAAAATCACTGAGACTTAAAGTCCGTGGATACGAATCACAAAGAATTGGTGTTTGAGAGGGGAGTGAGCAAGATGCACAATGATGGTGAAAAGGCTCAAGTTTCATTTTTGTGGCAGTTGCACCGACTAGCGCACAGCTGCGGGCAGTCCTCGAGGAGGATAGCTGAATACATGCTTCAGGTATATATCTTCATGTCTCTTTCCACAAAATTTGCTGGGATGCAAAAAGCACCAAAGGACTGGCCGGAAGGTCTTGCGCATTCATCTCCCAAACTCAAACCTCAATTGCCAGACTTCCATATGTGGGATGTGGGAAAACAAGAGAGCGGGCGGAGACAGGGCGTTGCTAACCCTGGGTACGTTGAATCTAGTAAAAGTGGGTCCTCCATGCCAAGATCTGTTTCCAAAAATTATACAAGCATAGACCCCAAACAGCTTCAAAACGATTCGTTTAGACCAATATCAGTCAAAAATCGATTTCTTGGTACGCCCTACTTTCACCGCAAGAGCAAACTGCTATTTGTTCGGCCACACTCCTCTCCAGTAAGCCGGGCCACAGAGACCAGCCACAGAGTTCCGGGGCGCGGCCAAGACAAGGACAAGAGGAGGACAAGACCCGGACACAGAGCCGGGCCACAGAGCCCAGCCACAGAGTTCAGGGGCGCGGCCAAAACAAGGACGAGAGGAGGGCAACAAGAGGAGGACAACAAGAGGACAAGGCCCAGCCACAGAGCCCAGCACAGAGGACAAGAGGAGGACAAGAATAGTAACCCGTCCATAGCGCACGAGCACGCGCGCGCTCGCCCTGCTCTCTCTCTCTCTCTCTCTCTCTCCCTCTCTCTCAGTGTTTCTCTGTCTTTCTCTTTGCACGCGCTCTGACTGCGTGGAGCGTGAGCGCGCCCGTCCATAGCACACAAGCGCACGCGCTCGCCCTGCTGTCTTTCTTTCTTTATATCTTTTTATCTTTCTTTCTTTCTTTCTTGCTTTCTTGCTTTCTTGCTTTCTTGCTTGCTTGCTTGCTTGCTTTCTTGCTTGCTTGCTTTTTTGCTTGCTTGCTTGCTTGCTTTCTTTCTTTCTTTCTGTGTCTCTCTCTCTCTCTCTCTGCGCGCGCGCACTCGCCTTGGTCTCTTTCCTTCTCTCTGTCTCTCTCTCTCTCTCTCGCTCATTCTCTTTAAGTTTCTCTTTCTCT